AAGATATGATCCCAGAGCTGTTTGAGGGTCATTCCTGGTCCATGAGGTCAGAGAGAGGGAGAATCCAAAAGAGTTCTGACAGCCTTGTTTGTGTCCCTGGATATACATGTGCCCAAAACTGTTTGTATACCTGTCCTTTACAATTGCATTAGCCAATAAATCCTCTGCTTCAGCTAGTTTGAGTGGATTTCTATTATTTGTCATCGAAAGCTTTATCCTATAGAAATTTAAAACATACGTTTATTCAACACTGAGGAAATCAATAAAATCATTAGGTGGATGTATTAGGGTTCTTTAGAGAAACAGAACTAATAGGATATATACATATATAGATAGATAGATAGATAGATAGATAGATAGATAGATGATAATATATAACACATGAGAGAGATTGAGATTTATTTAAAGGAATTGATTCATGCAATCATGGATGCTGACAAGTCCAAAATGTGCAGGGTGGGCTATCAGGTGGCAGACACAGGGAAGAGCTGATATAGTTCAAGTTCAGTTCTGCTGGTGAATTCCTTCTTGCTCTGGGGAAGTCAGTCTTTTGTTCTAGTCAGGCCTTCAACTGATTTTATTAGGCCTACCCACATTATGGCAGCGATGTGCTTTACTCAAAGTCCACCAATTTAAATGCTGATTTCATCCAAAAGCACCCTCCCAGACACATCCAGAATAATGTCTTACCAGGTATCTGGGCACTGTAGCTGAGCCAAGTTGGCACATAAAATTAACCATTACAGTGGATAAAGTTTGCTTTTATCACCAATTTATTTCTGGTTCCTTCCATATCTTGGCCTCCTCTCTATTACCATACTCAGTTCCACATGCCTTTTATATTGTCCCTTTTTTGCCCAGTGTTATCAACCAAGGTAATCTGTCTAGGTCAGCCTTCTTATTTCAAAATTATCTTTAGCCCCATCAAAATTTATATTTCCTCAGTGACCTTTTCACACTTGGTAGCAAAATAAAAAATAATCCTATATTTAGGTATGTGATAGGCAAGGAGTGGAGGTAATTTGGGAGAAGGGAATTTTTCTGGTCCCCTTATAATCACATTTTGTGAATGACTAGTCCTCTATAGTCTAGCCCTATCTAACATCTGGTTACCTTTTTAACGCTTCCTTTCAAAAAAGGATAAGTGCAAATATGCAAAAGTTTGAGATGGTATTCTTTTTTTAGGGAACTGGCAGTAGTATAGCTAGGCCATAAGATTCTTGAATAGAGTGGTAGGAGATGATGCTGATAAAACTGGCAGGAATGAGATCCTGAATAATTATGTGTGTGCATAGGAGTCAACTTAATCCTACACGTGAAGGGTAACTACTGAATTGGAAACAGGAAGAAACAGGATCGGATTTGTGTTTTTGAAAGATCACTCTGGTGTGAAGGTGTGTAGGATGAATTGTGGATAGTGGTGAAACCAAAGGGGTTCACTTAAGGGGTCTTTCTGAGCCCCTTGCCTGGTATCTTTTGTTGTGTTCATTTCTTCCTTCTCATAGGCTTTAATGGCTCAACTTTTTTTTTTGATATGTCCTACCATCTTTTCTCACTGGAGTACATTTCTCCACAAAACTCCCTAAAATGTAAAACATATGAGCCCCTGCTCTTCATATTCTAATTATTCAAAAAGAATTAAAAATTGAGATATAGTTGACATATTACATCAGTTTTAGGGGTATAAGATGATTCAATATGTGTTTATATTGCAAAATGATCACCACAATAAGTTTATTTAACATCTATCACCTCACATAGTTACAGTTTTTTTTCTTGTGATGAGAACTTATTTTAAAGATCTACTCTCAGCAACTTTCAAATATACAATGCAGTATTAACTATAGTCACCATGCTGTATATTACATCCTCAAGACTTATTTATAACTGGAAGTTTATACACAGGCTTTTTAATTTTAGTAATTTTATTGCTATATATTGTTGGAATTCAGGTAAGGGATAAAAATCACAAATGTGGGGACGTTTAAAGACCTTATAAAGCTATTTCAATTATGGTTCATCATTTCTTGAAACATGGCAACTGGAAGCCCTGCTGGTATCTTTAGCCCATCAGGCTGTATGGCAAGAAGGAGGCTGAGAGCCATTTAATTTGACAGGACTAATCTATGAACAAGGAAATGGACTTGCATAAAGAGATGATGAGTGACACCCCTTTATCATCATTACTTTTTTTTTCAGTTCAGTTAGTTCAGAACTTTTGATCAGTTGAGAACATTTTTTCCATTTCCTTAGGTGTTTGAATTAGACCCAGATGTCCCCTTTCCTTCATAGATCATTTATTTATTTATTTTTTCTCTTCTGGCCTTTATTCCCAAAGATCCAGCTGTGGCAAAGCTCTGTGTAGATGGAGGTCAGGCAAACAAAGTTCTTCCATATTAGTATTAAGGTTCTTTGCTGTGGTCAGTTGGTGAGGTTGTTCAAGGTTAGGTTGGTATGGAGGAGAGACTGTTCTATGACATGACTGCTGCCTGTCTCACAAGCTAGACCCAGATCAGAACGGAGGTTGCTTTCTGTAAACTCCCCTTACAGACTGTCTGATTGTAATTGAAGTTCATTCTGACACATACACACCGTTGCCTCCTGCTGTGTTTTGTTTCCCGGAACAGGTGGTTGTCTGGTCAAGCATGTGAAGTAATTTCCATACCTGGTCATTGCCTCCTGCTGTGTTTTGGTTCCCGGAACAGGTGGTTGTCTTGACCTGGTCAAGCATGTGAAGTAATTTCCATACCTGGTAGCATTCACATACTAGTACTATAACTTTTCCGCCCTTTTCCCATATAATTCGTTGGCTCCTGCGAAGTGGCGCAGGGATCCTTTTCATCTTGCAGCCACTCATGGTATGCCTTGTAAGTTTCCCTTTACAAGTTCTATTAATTGCCAGACTGGAGTGGCCAGCCTCTTCCATCTTTCCCTGCCCTCTGCTTGTGGAGTTAGACTTTCAGCCTTGGGGCTTTTCCCTTGGTCTGTCTATACTAACGGTTGGAAAAAATTAGCCTTCAAAGTTTCTTCCTCTCAACTTTAGTGTATAAGCATCTTCCAAAACAGCTGTAGCATGGAGATGGACAAGACAAATTGATAGTTATGATGGAGTAACAAGCAGAAGAGAAAAGCAGGGAGTATAATAGATTATTATAGTTTGAGCATGAGAACTTTGATGGTACTCCTGGCATTTTCTTTGAAGCATTGACAGGTTTTCTGGCAGTGCATAAAGGTGTTGCTCAAACATTGGAATCATGCCTTGACTCCTTGGCAATATCACTGAGGTCTTACCAGAACCTCTTCGATGAGGGTTCTGAAGTTAAGATGTACATTCACAGAGCCTTTGCCTCTTGAATTAAGAAATGTGTTGTATATTATCAAACAGCTCACTGTTTTTTAACTTTGCTCTAGGTGATTTAGGAACCTGATTAAGGACCTGAAATATTAAAGGGCTTTCACGTTAGAAATACTTTGATTAGTTAAATGTGACATTTTCTGGCCTTTCTTTGTGGCCAGTGATAAAAAGGCATTTTTTTTCCCTCTAAGAAAAAGCCTTTTGCTCACTTGTTCATGTAACCAGCCAGAGAAAATCAATTCTGCTAAGGACATTTGCCTTTTTTTCAATTACTCAAAAGCATTTTTGATCCCTTACTTTGTACTAGGGTTTTTGTTAGGTGTTGGGTATGCAAAGTCTTGTTCTAGCCTCAAGAAACTTAGTCTAGTAGGGAAATATACAAAAAATAATAAAGTATCAAAGCATATTGCTTTAAAGGGGCAGCTCAAAGAATGAGAGGTTAATCCATGTCCTTAAGCCTGTCTAGGGGAGAGAGAAAAAGTTTTCCCTGAGAAGTAGCATTTAAGTAGAGATGGGCTGGGAAGTCCATGAAGAGTAACCAAGGTGTGCAAAAGATTTGAGAATGTTGGCCCAGTTGAGAAACTACCTGTCCAGCATTGTTGGGGTGTAAAAGGGCTGGAAGTTGGAGTAGGAAGAGAACAGTAGTGTGAGGTAAGATTAGACATCTGGGGTCAGATGTCATTCCTATGTTCTGTGTGCCATACAAGTTTTTATTTGATTCTATTTTAGAGTCATTAACGGTTATGATAACCATCTACATTTGACTAAAGACACCATTTAAATCTTCCTAAGCAAATGCCCAGGTAATAAATTCTCAGAAACATCATCTCTCTTTGATTAAGTTTCTCTTGGCAGGAATGGTATATTAATTAATTAATCGTTTGTGAGTCAAACTTAAGGCTGTCAAATCTAGGTAATTCCTACAGTCCTCTCGGGTGGGCCAACAGATGTCTTCCCAGTCCGCCCCCCCCGCGCCCCTCTACAAAAAACTGGGGGTTACAGATGCAGTGGGTGGGGGTGGGGATGGGGTGCGGAGGGCTTTCCAAAGCTAAGCATATCACATAGAGCCTAAATCGGAAACTGAATTGTCAGTCACCAGAAAGACTAGCCGAACCTCCATGGCTCTTTGCAATCAAGAATTTTGGTATCTCTCTCCCCTCATCTCAATCAATTCTTTGCAAGTTTTCTTAGCCTATGTCTCTTTCCCACCTTCACTTGTTTGTCCCTCAATATCCCCTAGTCAGGCTTTCTGCTTTCCTCCTCCTCTTTCTCGGCTTCGTGGGGTGCTGGAGCGTGGGGCCTTGGACTGCACTGGGCGCGTGCCCCAACGCTGTTTGCTTTGCTAAAAAATTCCATCCTGCTCTGATCTTTCCGTCCTTCCCGGGCAGCCACCAAGTTTCTTCCTCCCCAGCAGCGATGTCCCTCCCGCTGCTCGCCCGGGGATCGGGCGGCTCCAGGAACCCAAAGCGGATGCAACCGCGAGCCGCTGCCACGTCTTAGCCTCCAGCAGGTCAGCGCCTGCGTGGGCTCGGGGGCGGGTGGGCGGTGCGGTGCGGGGAGGCGGGATCTGCGCGTGAGCGGCGCAGCGCGGACGAGGCCCAATGGGACCTGCTGACAGCGGCGGCGGCGACGCGGTGCGCGCCGAGGGGCGGGGCCAGGAGGCCGTTGCTGGTGAGCCCGGGAGGCCGTGAAGGCACTCCTTATCTCGGCTGTCGCATCCTAGAGGGACTCGTGTTGGCGTCCCCCCTGGCTTCCACGCCCGCCGATCTCCGAACAGGCTCGTGTGCGCTCCTGACCTTGCCAGCCGCTCGCCACTCGCTTTGCGGACCGCGCCTCCTACATCATGTGCGGTAAGGTGCCGTAGGCGGGGGGCGTGTTGCTCGATGGTGCTGGGGTGCGGTGCGGGAGCTGCTGAGGCCTGAGGCGCCAGTGGGATCGGGAGTGTGGAGGGTGCGAAGTCTGGGTGATGGGCAGGGGGTGCCCTGCGTTGGCCAGGGGTCCTGGGGACCGGGGCTGAGCTCTGCGAGCCGGAGGGCGTTGGTGGACTTAGGCGGGGATCTGGGGGACCGAAGGGGTAGGCGTTACGCGAAGAAGGGAACCAGGGGAGAAGAGAAATGATTGTATTGGAAAAGGAGAGGGTTGAGGGAATTGAGGTGTGGAGGGAGGTGTCTTCACAAGAGTCCACCAGATGAGGCAACCTGTGGAACATGAGGTGAGGTCTCTTGAGTTATTCTTGTATTCTAAGATTTACCTTTAAAAATATTTTAAATTGCTTTCTTTGGGTCAGGCCCATAGACAACAGAGCAATAACTAGAGATATGAGAACGGCATTACACAAAATCTTAACCTCCTGCCCCTCCCCTCTTTACAGAAACTATTACTGATCATTAACTTGGTGAATGAACTTAGACCGGATCCTCTGGTGGAAGAGGCCCAGAAGTGACCTTGGCGATAGATCATACATCATTTATACATCCATTTAAAACACTTATCTATGAATAATAGTTTGCGTTTAACATATGTTTTACCTAGAACAGTTAAAACATAAAGTTAGGCCCTTTTATTTCATGTTTTGAGACTTAGTTGTTTTAATATTACCTAAAAGTGTTAGCTAAAAGAGATTGCCAGAATTATATCTGGAATGATTGATATGAACTAAAATTGGTATTAACTTGGCCATTGTCAGTTACTTTTCTTATTGAAATTTACAACTGACCTTACCCCTGGAAGAAAAAAAAAACCTAATTTTTAAGGGATATATAACTTTAATAGAATTGAAACTATCTGGGAAACTTACTCTTTTACGCTTTTTGCAAGAACTGATCAGGAGGTGGCTTGTTCTCATGAATGTATATTTTTCCTGTATTTAACTTTATGTTAATTTCAGCTTCTGAAAAGGAGCAGGTTAAAATTTAGAGTAGATTAAAAAAAACAAAAAGAATAAACACCTACAAATAGCTTGCTGAAATTATTAGAGTCTAGCTGACTTTAGAATCAGATATACTTTTGCCATGTCTAGTTAGCAGAGTGTACAAAAAACACATAATTTAGTTTGGAGCTGTGAAGTAGTGAATTTGCAAACTGGTTAATCCCCAGTTTGCTTCATTTGGTAATTAACTGTTCCTGAATGATGAGGTGTGTGCCTAGGTAAGTACCTGGCTTTCTAATTGCAGGTCATTTCTTCATCTTGTTCCTGGAAAAAGGAAGACAAAGTACTATAAAAGAAAAAATCTGATCTGGTTTAGAAAAGGTGCAGAGGTAGAGTGAGGCTTTTAGGGTGGAGACTAGGTGTTGAAAGTTTTCATTTAGCCAACATCCCTATCCTACAGTTTTATTGCTGAGGAAACAAGTTATAAACAATAAAGAAAGAACTAGTATTGGAGGCAATTCTGAGGTCCTGCTTTTAACCCAGACCAGAATTTTGCATTATTCCAGGAATAAGGTCCAGAATTTATTTCCTCTTTGATGTGAATTCTGAAGGTTGACTGTCTTTATTTTCCTCTCACATCTTAATGCAATACAATTTCTAGACAGAGAAATTGAATAGGAAATGAGATTAGATGGAAAATTTAGAAATTTACTTTCTGATTACCTGCTTCCTATTCAATAGAGTTTTCTAAAAGATTATTTTGTTTTAACATTGCAAAATGTTAAAGCAGAAGAATGAGGGCTAACTATTCTGTGAGATTCTTTTTTCAGTCTGATATACTGATAAAATTGTTGTAATGTTTACCAGGTTGAATTGGGATGTTAATAAGTGTTAATAAGACAAAAAAAGATTCTATAATCAAGTAAATTTGGGGAGCAACAGATTAAACAGTGTCTAACTGGCTTTTTTAATTGGAGGACTTATTTGAACCTTTAATTTGCTAATAAGTGTTGTGAATCTCCCAGAGACAAATAGGGTGTCTACTTTCCAAATTTATTTTATCTTCCTCTTATCCTTGGTTCTTTGGAATACACTTGGTTTTACCTTTGGCTTTGGTTAGAGTGTAAATGAGATTATATTTAAAAGCAGTTAGGGAGCTGTAATTTAAAAGTATCCTGAAATCCTTAAAAAGTTTTTTTGTAATTACACAGTCTAATGGTTTTGGAGGTAATCGAGGGATATATTGAGACCTGCTTCTAGGCATCATAAAACCAGCACTATTAACATATCCTTAGAAACAATATTGGATATAAAGTAGTTGTGAAAGAAAATAATTAATCGTTTAATAAACATTTCTTCATTTGTGTTCCCTGGAAAGGGAGAAGTTAATAGGTGCAGCTAATGAGAAGCAGAAGGTG